AGGCTCTGAGGCACTTTCTGGTTGGAGTTGCTGCCAGCCAAGGAAGCCAAGGGGAAAGTAAAGCTATACAGAGTCAAAAATGCACTGTGAGTACATAAGAAAGAAGCAGGTGTCAATAGAAGCCGAGATCAGTTTCTGCTGACATATCACAGGAAAGAGGTGGCCATGTCCCCCCAGAAGAGAAGACGACTTACAGAGCACGCCCACAGGATCTGGTGGTGGGTAAAACCATGTGCACGCAGTTACATCGTAAAAGGCCTTTATCACACTGCTGGGTCCTAAGATGGAAATTCACGCTATTTACACAGGAAAAGAAACTGTAGGCTTCTCCATCACCCCATTCTTCTAATTCAGATTGGATTACAGGAGAAACTGATTGCTGGCCCTCAGGGATCTTCATGAGCAAATCTGGGTCACTGTGATACCCATGTGGAATTTGTGCACCATCATCTCTTTTATAAAATACTTGCATTTTAACTGACTGTGACATAGGGCAATGACCATGAAAGATGGAAATGCTAATACATATCAATAGAGAAACATGGATCCTGAGAGACATTGTTTTTCAGACTTGAAATACTTATTTGGTTTGAAACATTACTTTGCAATTAAAAGGACTATTGCTACATTTGAAAACATAGATGGATTTAAAATAACTTTTTAAGTGAAAATTCCAGCCCCACAACATGTGCACTGAGTTCTTTCCTCTATATGATGCTTGCAAATTATCTACTTCAGAAAATATCAGAGGAAGCCTGGTGCTGAGAGAGAAAACTGGCCATGAAAGATCAGGGTCTACATATGAAGGATGTGAAATTGAATGTCTCGATTATGGTAATAGATATTCAAATATAAATGATTATTAAAATCATGAGTGTACACTTCAGTCAGATTCTATTTTTAAATGAAAATCAAGCCAAAATATTGTCCCCAGATGTGTTAAATTACATGAAATCTTCAGACTAGAAGATGCTAAATAAAATATTACTGATTTTTTATTCTGACTTCAAAAATGTAAATGTTTCAACATAAATATGAGTCACTTAAATTTATCGATATCAGAGAAGCCATATAACTACAAAAGACAGTTATTGAAATTAAATATGAAAAACAGTATTTTCTCAAGCACATATGTGTAGCATGATCAATGGAACAGATGATCCCACATAGAGCCTGGATCTTACAGAACAGTTATATATGACATATGTGAAGTGAAAAATCACTGGGTTTTAAAAATAGGATTTCACATAAATTTTATTAAATACCACCCAACACAGAACTTACTTGTTGGAGAGACATTGTTTTATTCAATAATCACCTATATAAAACCCTGTCACATAAAAATGAGGTTTCAACAAGCGGACCCAGCCCAAAGTCCTGAAATTGAAGATGTGTATTATTGTGACCCACTAGGATGTTACAAAAGAAGGAGTTTTCTCTGTCACTTCAGACTGATTAATCATGTTTTCTATATTGGAGACTGATGAGAGTTTGAACAATTGAGAGTTTTATTTACTCCAACAATTCCATTTAAACCTATGACTAGGCAATGAACAAAAACGTATGGAATTGCCTAGGAATGGTACTCAACTCAGAAAACGGAGTTGGGGAAGAAAGACTATGTAGAGGAGACGGTTTGGGGATTGGGTGCTGACAAGGGTAGGGAAACCCAGGCATTTAAATGTGAACCATGCAGACAGCTACCGTGGGCACAAAGGCCCACAGACGTGACTGCTCGTGGGTCACACGGGGACTACTCATCACTGCACTGAGGTGGGACTTGGAGTACAAAGGTAAGAGGAAGGCAGAGCCCTGTGGTGCTGGAACACAAAGCACTGCACTGTGGTGAGGTCCGGAAAGTACAGAAGTTGAGAAGAGAACGGATGACGTCAGGTCCATGTAGTCGTCTTCATCAGTGTCAAAGCTGAGGACGGCCTGCCCGGGGCAGGCATGGAACGCAGCAAAACTAGGTGAGAGGCTGTGGAATTTTCCCAAGAAAGGCGCAGAGAGTTCAAACGCAGTGTAAGGAGTGAAAAAAGGAAACAGGTCAACTCCACAGAGCTGGACAGATGTCAGGTGAGGGGACAACTAAGACTCCTGTAACTATTGACCGTACAATGGGTGAAGGCTGAAAGTTCTCCAAGGTAAGCCCTGTGTAGGCAGGAACATGTCGATTTATATTAAAGATTGCAGAGTAACTCCAAGAAACTTCTTTAATCTTAACCTCAAAGGCATACTTACCTTACTTACCCACAAGTTTTGTACACCTTCTGTCAAACTATGAGGCTATCATTCACAAAAATGATCCATCTCAGACTTAAAGTTGACAGTGTAGCAGAAACCAGAGGCCTTGAACCAGACCCTGACTCTTTGCTTTGCACACTTGTGAGTGAAGACACAGGATAAAAGGGTTACTGCGTCACTCACTGTGTCACACCACAGCTTCCATGACAAGATTTTTCACTTTCTTTTTCTCTCTTAAATTCTATTTTATTTTTTGGTGGGGAGGGGGTGCAATGGCAGAGGGCGGATACGAAGGGGCGGGGAAATGAATGGGATCCAGACGCACGATGGGAAAGACTCAAGGAATAAACAAGAAGAAAGTTTAATCTCTTTTTCACTTACTGGTCTGTAGTGTAAGGCGTTAACATCACCCCTCAGCTCCTATTTTCCTTCACAAGCTATTTAAATCCTCAGATGTTATGGTTCCCAGACAAACCCAGGAAGCATTCTTTCTAAGGATCTTACGAAATACAATCAAGATAATTTCAACCTGATAAAGCGGTTGATGATACTCTGGCAATTCTCTCAAAGGGAAAATAATCAAACTTAACAAGGAAAAGCTATAATCTAAGTGTAGCATTCATACTATCCTTATGTAAAAAAAGAAAAGAAACCTTGTGGATTATTGCATCCCTGACTAATGTTTTGAGAATGTCCCCAAGTTTGGAATTTAAGGTCCCATTCAACCATAATGAGCCAAAAGGCTTCTTCACCAGCCATCTCTAACTGTAAAGTCTAGGATTATGTCTATGTGAAGTCTCCTGGTCCCTGCCTCTGTCCCTGTCTTAGTTAGGGTTTCTATTGATGCTGTGAAGCACCGTGACCAAGAAGCACATTGGGGAGGAAGGGGTTCGTTAGGCTCACACTTCCGCATCGCTGTTCACCACGGAAGGAAGTCAGGACAGGAAGTCAAGACAGGGCCGGATCTTGAAGGAAGCAGCTGAGGCAGAGGGTGTGGAGGGAGCTGCTCACTGACTCCCCTGCCTTGCTCAGCCTGCTCTCTTACAGAACCAGGCATCGCCAGCCCAGGGATGGCCCCACCCACAGTGGGCTGAGACCTCCCCTACTGATCGCTAATTGAGAAGATGCCTGGCAGCTGCATCTCATGGGGGCGTTTCCTCAGCGGAGGCTCCTTCCTCTGACCCTAGCTTGTGTCAAGTTGGCACACAGAACCAACCAGGCAACTGACCCTTGTCCACCTGACACACAAACACGTTTCCATTGGGCCACATCCCTTCCTTTCTTATTTATCTCTAAGATCTCACATTAAAATCATACGTAATTTTAAAAGTCCCACAGTCTTTACAAATTCAAACACATTAAAAATCTCAGTCTCTTTAAAACATCCAATCTCTTTTAAAAGTTCAAGTCTTTCATCTGTGGACTTCTTTAAAAATCTAAATCAAATACTTTGTTCAAGAGGGAAGGACCAGCACTCTGTCACAATCTGAACCAAACAAAAATCAAACTTCAACAGCATAAATAACTCAATGTTTAATTATCTGGGATTTACTCACGGTCTTCTGGGCTGCTCCAAGGGGCTGGGTCTCTTCTCCAGCTCTGGCCTCTGCAGCTCACACAGCTTGTCCTCTAGGCTCCGGCTGGCTCCACGCCAGTGCTGCTGCTGTCCTCGGTGGCCAACCCAGGATACTGGCATCTCCAAAACTCTAGGTTCTTCTGCTGCAACCGGGCTGTGCTTTCATCAACAGCCTCTCATAGGCTCTCCTCATGGTGCCAAGCCTCAACTTCTCTGCATGACCCCTTCAGTCCTGGGCCCTCAACGGTCACTGAGGCTGCACCTTCGCCAATGACCTCCCCTGGCCTCTCAAGGGCCAAGCCTCAGCTGCTCTCCGTAACCCCTTCATGCCTTCAAAACCAGCACCACCTGGGTGACTCTTACACATCACCAAGTCTGGCTGCCAACACGAGGTACAGCCATGGCTGCCTCTGGAACACAGCTTCGCTGTGCTCTCAGAAAACACTTAAGGGAAGATTTCGCCTCAGTGATGCTGGTCTCTTCTTAATCACTGCTAGTTTCTTAGCTCCAGCTGACCAGCATCAAGTGTCCCAGTAATGTAAAGATTTCTCTTTAGTAGTTCTGGTAGCTTGTAAACCACAGCTGGTTCTTCAGCCCCAGCTAGTAAGAACCACAGGATTTTAACTCAAAAGTAACAAATGGCCCTGACGGTCTTTAAGCTTCTCTCTGACACCTAGGAAGTCAGGTCTCCGTGTTCTTCACTGTTGCCAACATTCTCATCTTCCAAGCTCCCACAGAATGTCTCACAGAGCTCTTAACACTCAATGGCTTTTCTAACCCAAAGTTCCAACGTCCTACGATCCTCCTCCAAACACATGGCCAGGGCTGTCACAGCTGTACCCCCCTTTGCTGGTACCAATGTGTCCACGTTAGGGTTTCTATTGCTGCCATGACCAAGAAGTACATTGGGGTGGAAGGGGTTCGTTAGGCTCACACTTCAGCATTGCTGTTCACCATGGAAGGAAGTCAGGACAGGAACTCAACACAAGGCGGGATCCCGAAGGCAGCCACTAATGCAGAGGGTGTGGAGGGATGCTGCTCACTGACTTACTTCCCCTGGCTTGCTCAGCCTGCTTTTTTTTTTTAATAGAACCCAGGACCACCAGCCCAGGGATGGCACCACCCACCTGGGCCCTCCCTCATTGACCACTAATAGAGAAAACGCCTTACAGCTGGATCTCATGGAGGCATCTCCTCGGCTGAGGCCCCTTCCTCTCTGATGATGCAAGTTTGTGTCAAGTTGACACGCAAAACCAGCCAGCACGGTCCCCTTCACGGTTTACCTGCCTCTGTAAGTTTTCCCCTCTGCTGTGGTGGGTGTAGAGTTCCGCGCTACCGAGTGGGTTTGAACACTTGGTCTCCAGCTGGTGGTGCGTTTGGGGAAGGCGGTAGAGCCTTCTGTAGGAAACATGGCTAGCAAAGTGTGTTTGCTCTGGCAGACCCTGAAGTCCGACACCTACTTCTGCTTCCACCCAGAATCCTTCACCTACTGGTTTGCACCAGCAGCCAAGCCCCCTGCTCTGCTCTCCCGTCTGCTCCAGCCCCAATGCCTCCCCAGCCATGACAGACTGAATCTCTGAACGTAAGCAAAGCTTAATTTGTTTCTCTAGGTGTTTGGTCACAGCCATGAAAAAAAGTATCTAACGCGTTCTTTCCATCATTGCTCCCCCTTCATCCGAGTGGTGGGGGCGGGGATTGTTTCTCCATCAGCACAGCAACTGCGCCTGAGTCTACTGATGTCTCAGCCAGTAATTGCAGGCTCCACGGTTACAGGCCCACTCCTCAGGCAGAGGCTTGGCGGGATTTTTTTAATAACATTTTTTATTTGTTTTACATGTGAATCGAAGTCTCCCCTCCATCCCCTCCCAGTCATTCCCCAGCATCCCCCTCTGCTTCCCATCTATCCTCCCCTCCTTCCTCTCCTCCGTCTCCAGTCAGAAAGCCGCAGGCCTCCCAGGGGCTCCTTGAGCAAAAGCATGGTCCATCCAGTTGAGGCAGGACCGAGCTCCTCTGCTTGTATCAAGGCTGGGCAAGGTAATCAAGCATGAGGAACAGGCCCCCAAAGCCAGCTAAGCACCAGGGACAGGTCCTGAGGCCACCACTAGGAGCCCCATAAAGAGACCAAGCTATACAACTGTGTCACACACACGCACGCACGCAGAAAGACTGGGCCAGCCCCATGGAGGCCAAACATGTCTCCTGCCACCGCCACCAAATGCAGTTTTTAACCGAGTCTCCACCGTTCTATTTATCACAAGACTCAGGAGTCAGAGTCTGAGGTGAAAACCTGCTGTCTCAGAGAGGCTGAGGAGCAAGTAGCTGGGCTTCCCTCTTCACCAGTGTCTCAGACGAAAAGCGTCCCTTCTGCTCCACCAAACCAAAAGGGACTGACACACTCTGAGCCCGCCCCTGCCACTTCCTGCGCATCTGTCTCTCTGTCCATCCCCCAGGCTCCCTCTGACTCTCTATGATCACTTCCTGTCAACTTGCTGCCGGCTCCGCCTCCTGACCCAAGGTTGATTTTATTTAACGAATGCAAATGGAAACTTGGGTTTCACAGTGCGGTCAAATATCCTGCAACAGGGGATCCTGTGAAATTACCAAGCCAAGTTGTTTCCTTCCTTCGCTGAGTATCCTCCAATGCCTTACTCTCTCATTTAGAAACCAAGCCAATGCCTGCGAGACTGTTTGCAAGGCTTTCCAAGATAGACCCTGTTCTGACTGATTTTTTATGTCCACTTGATACAACCTGGAGTCATCTGAGAGGAAGGAACCCCACCTGAGAAAAAAAAAAAACTCCACAGTAGACTGCAGGCAAGCCCATAGAACATTTTCTTAATTAGTAATTAATGCGGGAGGGCCCAGCCCATTGTTGGTGGGACATACTTGGCCTGGTTGTTCTGGGTCCTATAAGAAAGCAGGCTAAGCTACCGTGGGTGGCAAGCCAGTAAGTGGCGCCCGTCCATGGCCTCTGCATCAGCTCCTGCCTCCAGGTTCCTGTCCTGTTTGAGTTCCTGTCCTCGATGCTTTTAATGTTGAACTGTTATATGAATCTGTGAGTGAAATAAAACCCATTTCCTCCATATCCCGATCCCCTCTTTCTGTCACTGTCCCCACTGGCCACAGTGTCCCTGGCCGCTGTCAGTGACTCAGTCCGGATGTCCAAAGCGTCTTTAGCTCTAACGCATCCTGTGTTCTCTGTCCACTAACGGTTTCTTAGCATTACATCGTCTGTCCACTCTGCTTAAAACTGAAGGCCAACACCGTTGCCCAGAGCCTTCAAAAGCTGCCGACTCACTGCTAATTATGCCGTCTTTCTCCTGAGAACATGAACTCAGTAAGGAGAGCTGTGATTCTGCTCTCGTTTGTTTGTTGGTTCACCCGCCTGGTACTGAACAGGCTTTCAATAAATGTTTGTTGAATGACTGTAATTGCAGAGTAAGCAATTTTTTTGATGATGAAAAAGAATTTCCTGTATTCAGATGTAGCCAGAGAGAGAGAGAGAGAGAGAGAGAGAGAGAGAGAGAGAGAGAGAGAGAGAGAGAGAGAGAGAGAGAACTAAAGCCAGATGAGGACACACTGGGGCTCCCCACTCACCATTCACACAGCCACATTTCAAGAGTCATACATCTTCCCCAAGTTTATTCTCACTGTCTAAAAAATGGGTGTAGCATCAACCTGACCATGTGTTCCTCATGGAGTTCCTGTGAAAAATCACAAGAGTGATCTGTAACTTTCAGGTCCTCACAAACAGTGGCTATTAGTACCACCTGATTCATCATAGAAATCGCCTTTAAGCGATTAGCTAGCTACTTCCACAAGTCACTGAGAAGAGGAAAGCTCTTCCCTGTTGAAGTGTCCTAATCAATGGTGAATAGAAAACAGTAGAAGGACAGCTGCTTTGACATTCACCCCTCAGGATTTCCAGACTGACCCAGTAGCGTTTCCAGGAATAGCTATCTATTAATCATGGTTCATCATCAAGATCACTGTCAAAGAGATCTGTGTGCAAGACCAGATGAACTAGAAATCTACCCACATGGAACAAGACCAGATGAACTAGAAATCTACCGACATGGAACAAGACCAGGGAGGCGAAGGCTATCCTCCTCTCTGGAATGACCTTGAAATTCAAATTTTCCCACCCAAATTATGTTCCTTACCATCCCACCCAAAGCTGTTCTTACTCCTTCTGTTACAGCAACCCGTGGTGGCCACTTTTACTCCACATCAGCCAAACCCTTTGTCCTCCTCAGCACACGCAGGCAATATTTAGGAAATCCTATTTTTTCCCATCTCTCCCTTTGAAGCCATTGAGACTGGTTTTGTCTGGGCTCTTTGAAGGGTGGTGGATTCCTCCTAAGCTTGTGTATTGTTTACACAGGGGCAGTCTCTGTGGGTGAATCAGATCAGGGCTTTGCTATGTACTTCTTGTCCCACTGTAGTCCAAAGAGTTTTAATTTTGTACAATCAACCCGTTACTAATGGAAGTCTGCTATTAAAAAAAAACACCACTAGGATAATGAATGGGTCAGCTTTACTATGTTCTAAGTCAGATTTGGTTGTTACTATTAGATAGTTATAAGGTTGCAATTGTTATATTCTTTGTGTGTGTGTGTGTGTGTGTGTGTGTGTGTGTGTGTGTGTGTTGTACAGGTACAAAGGTAGACCTACTTTCTAGTGGTTAATATCTATCTGGTGATCTTTCTCTAGTCTTCAGATTTCTTAGCTATGTACTCATAAAGTTCATTCCCCTTTCAAGTCTAAAGAAGTTTTAATCTTTTCTAAGAAAGCACAAGCTTACTGTGGATACTATTCCCATGTTATTTTATGCCTTAATATTTTATGTCTTCCACACTTTCTACATGTCTTTCCCAACCCTCCTGCTTCCTACTGGCCCCATACAGCTTTGTTTGCCATTTCATTCTACATATTTGGAAGGTATAAACCCTATCTCTATTCCTTTTAGCGGCCAGATTTTTTTTCAGATGTTGACAAGCTATGTCCATATTTGGGTTACACGAGTATAGGGCAATGGCCCTGAGTATAACTTGCTGTTAGAACACATGTTTGTCATGACCGAGAGCCATCCCTGGCACCAGGAGGAGGAGGAGGAAAAAGAAGAGGAAATGGAGGAAACCGTGATAGTTAGGATGTTAGGAAGAATGCCCAGCAAAGGATGGAGACTTGAGTCATGTCCTCCAGGCCAAGCTGCCTGTCCTCAAATCACATGATCTTCCTCTCTCTCCTCAGTAGCAGGGTGAGCGGCACTTGTGTCAGAGACAGTGGGGTCACAGAACATAAACCTGGACCTCACAGATTGTCAACAAGAAACTCTAGCATGTTTTAAATCCATAAACAGTATGTTTATGTTGGGGCCTCAAGCTACTTAAGCCCAAGCATTCCTTATCCATAGCACACATTATCATTAGTTGATTTAGATAACTAGGTGTGTAGACAGAGAGATAGGAAGGAAAGTGGATAGAAGGGAACAAAAGAATGAAAACATAGAGGGAGAAAGACAGGAGGGGGGAGGGGGAAGGAGGGGGAAAGAGGGGGATGATAGGGAAGGATGGGGGGGAAGGGTTAAGTCTTAATACAATTAGAACAATGCCTTCAAAAGGCCTGGGTGGATATTTTAGGCTGAATTTTCACAAGGCTGTGGACCTGAAGACTTGAAACTAAGACGTAAGTCCTTCAAGGATGTGAGTAAGAGCATCCAAGGTGTATAGAACAGGTAACGGCAAGGCTCTGTGTGGGCAAGCATCACTCATCCCAGAAGCACAAAGGCAAGCTTGACCACAGGACGGTAACATCAGGAACAGTGCAAGCATCACTCATTCCAGAAGCACAAAGAGGCAAGCTTGACCACAGGACAGTAACATCAGGAACGGTGCAGAACGAGGTTAGAAAAACAAACAAAAGAGAAACCAGGTTACAAAAGCAGTCATGGGGGCATGTACTTGCAACCCTAGTGCCGGTGAGGCTGGGACACCTGCGTCTCTGGAGCTTCCTGGACAGCCAGCTCTCCTTATTCAGCAAGCTTCAAGCCAGTGAGAGACTAGCTGAAGGAGAAAGGGAGACCATCTTTCTTAAAAAGTGTGGGTGGAACCTAAGAAATAACACTGTTTGCAGGCCTCTATGTGCAAGCGTGCATACCCAAGTATACATGTACACCTGCGTGTGCACACACACACACACACAGACACACACACACCCCAATAAAAGAAAGAAAGAAAAGTGGATCGTACCAGACCTTGTAAGGGTTTGCACATTAGGGTAAAGTGTCTGAAGTTCATTCTAAGTGTGCTCTGAGTTTTAAATTAAAGGAAGAAAATCCCTCAATGTTCTATTTTTAAAATATCACACTTTGGTTGGGGGTCATAGCTCAGTGATAGAACAGTGGCCTACCAGGCAAGAGGCTCTGGGTTCAACACATACACACACACACAGACACACAGACACACACACACAGACACACACACACACAGACACACACACACACAGACACACACACAGAGACACACACACACCTACACACAGGCACACACACACACAGACATGTACACACACACACAGGCACACTCACAGGCACACACACACACAGACATGTACACACACACACAGGCACACTCACAGGCACATACACACACAGACACGTGTACACACACACCTACACACAGACACACACACAGACACACACACCTACACACACACACAGACAGACACACACACCTACACACACAGACACATACACACACACCTACACACACAGACACGTACACACACATGTACACACACACAAATGCAGGTGATTTTTTTTATATCACACTGACTGAAAACCCCTCATACACCAGCAGTAGGAACAAGATTCAATTTAGCGACATGGGAAAGTCTTGAGACTCCTACAAAAAGAAAACGTAAGGTAGCTACCAAATGAGCTGTCATTGTTCGGTATACACCCAAAAGAAATGAGGCTGGTCTGTCGGAGACAATATCTGCATTCCCATATTAACCGAAGTACGACTCATAATATCCCAGAGATGAAAATGACTCGAGTAGCCATCAGCTAAATAAGGACTAAAGACATTACAGTGTGTCTATATATACACACGGGACACTATTTACCTATTACAGCGAGCAAGGTCCTGTTATTTATTCATTACAAGCAAGATCCTGTTATTTGCAACAACGTGAATGAAAAATAAAGACCGGTGTGTTAAGAGGAATAAACCAAGCCCAGAAAGACATATGCACAAAAAGTGTCAGTACTCTGCCACCGCAGTGACTACAAGTGACAGTAATACGCTGAGCGTTTCAGAAAGACATTGGATAAGAGATTTGGACTCTGTTTGAAGGTATGGATGTGTCTAACCTGTTTTGAGCACGGTACAGTGTACACACATATCAAATCTATTACGGCAACCCATTGGTGTTGATCATTTTTGTGATTTGATGTGCCAATTTAAGATGTTAATTTAAATTTTAAAGCTCATCCTGGGGGCAGGGTAACGGCTCATTGCATAAAGTCTTTGCTGGAAAAGCGTGAGGGCCTGAGTTTGGATGGCCGTGCATGCCTGTAACATTAGCGCTGAGGAAGCAGAGACCAGTGAGTCCTGGGGCTCACTGGCCCGCGCCAGCCTAGTCATGACGTCAAGTTCTCGGTTTAGTGAGAGACATCCCAAAATACAAGCATTCAAGAAAACTCCCAAAAGTCAACCTCTGGCCACCACACACACACACACACACACACACACACACACACACACACACACA